TGTACTCAGCCCGCAGGTAGACAAGAAGCACTCGTCCTTGAAGAAGTCCGGATGGGGAATCCAATTCTTGGGAACTATGATGTGAGTCCCATCCCCCATGGGCTCAGTTGTTGTTTCAAAAAATCCCGGCTCCAATATTTGCTCCCGGGCCTTAGTAGATAGCACCGGGAGAAGGCATTTACGTCCAAGAAGAGTCGGCTCAGTATTGTACCAGCGCAGTGTCCGGTTGTGTCTTAAGGTGGGGGAAGAAACCAAATAAAACTTATCCTTCCACCCGGACCATTTCGACACTTTGTCCAAAGTCATCAGGTATTGGGGCAAGGTAGTCAGAGTATACCATGCCCCATGGCCGCCTGGGGCCTTGCTCAAGTAGTGCATATGAGCGAAGGCAGAAAAGCTGGGGTTTATATTTTGAAACTCGCAGGCGGCGATGTAACTAAGAATATTCACCCACGAATTGGGGGTGAGCTGCCAAACCCCTACATCGTACCCCTTAAGAATTTTCCTAATTCCGGGGTGGAGGGGGAACCAGAGGCCGGCTTCGATAACCGCCTCGTAGCAAATGAAGTAGTCTTCTGCATGGTCAATATCATCGCCCCAGGCCATTACGGCGTCAGCCGGAGGAACGATAATCTCCCAGCCCCTTCCAAAGGGGTGCTTTTCTTTGAAGGCCCTGAATCCGCTCTTGAGGATGTCGATGTTACCCGGAAGCATCCGGGTCCTTTTAGGGTTGGGGTTGTCAGCGACCTTAGGCGGCTGCTGATAGTCAGCCGCAAAATTGTCTTGGTCAGAGCCGGAAGATTTGGCCCTTGACCCTTCGCAGGCCTCAGCATCGTCGGCTTCATTAGAGTAGGTGGTACCCTCGCCGCCTACCTCTCGTACCCCGAAGCTCCCGGAAGTAGAGGGAGCCTCTTCGTCAGATCCGCTCTCCTCCCAATCCCTCTGTTCCCCGTCTAGGAAAACCTCATCGGCTGACACTCTCATAGTGCGCCGGCTCTTAGGCCGTATGGCCGTTTGTTTCGTTCTAGCCATTGTGTCTTGCACAGACACAGAGAGGGAGGAATTCGGAGATGAGCATATTGGTTCCGACAGTCCAGAAAAGGCACCCCCTGTTCTAGACTCAGCCGTTCCGGGGGATCGGCTGAGTGTCCTAGGCAGTGCCCAGTGAGTGGATCGAGAACTCATTTATATTCTCTAAAAATCTAGGTATACAGGCGAAGAAAAAATGGTATACAAATTGAAAGGGAGAAAAGCTAAAATGGTACAGGCGGTTACCTCGCTTTTACTCTGAAAAATCTGAAAACCGCTTGAGCCGGTAAACCGGGTGTTGAACTGCTAGCACACGGAAGCTTGAGCCTGTTGTGATGCAGACGGAAGCAGAGGATCTCCCTCCAGAATCTTTCTTTTTCTCTCTCTAAAAAGTCAAATGTGAATGTAAGGTGACAAAAAAGGGGGGGTAACTTTCTATTTATAGAAGGTGAAAGCGGAGGGAAATCTTTGATTTGAAATTCAAATTTTTACCCGTTACTATTCACCTATGAAAGGTGGACACGTGTCACAGGCCCCAAGTGACATGCACGCGCGACCTGCAAGGGGAAACTGTTTAGGGTAAAAATACCCTAGACACGTGGACTAGTGAGAGGAAGCCACGTGTCGAGCTCAGGATGGCCCATGTGGCTTAACATCCTCTTGACACTTGGCGCCCTCAGATACATCTCCGAAATGACGGCCTTCAAGGGCCCAAATCCCTAGAACCGCCGTTATTCGGCGCAGCCCGCTGAAATTTAGGTCAAGTGACCTAGGTAGGGGCACGTTATCCAAGGACCCTATAAATAGGGAGATATTTCCCCACTTTGGGGACACATTCAATCATTATTACACCTGCATTCTCTCACATCAGAGAAAGACCTGAGCTTAGAATCCAGGCAGGTCCCCACCTAAATTTTCGTTCTCTTTATTTCCTTTCAAGTTACTGACTTGATCTTCGGAGGCGGAGCTCCAACCACCCGGAGTCTCCGTTATTTTGCAGGTACAGCTCAGCCGAATCAGGCTTCATGACGTAACTCTCCCAAGGGATAAAAACACCCAAAACATATATTGCCAAAATGATGACGTACAAAGCAACCCCTACATACGGCTATGGGTGCTTAGCAGCCCCTAGCATTACAACCGCTTGAATGCAGCCGACTTCCATGTCGTATGACCCTTTCTTAGCTTGGTTACCGCTTGACCAAGCTTACAATCGAGCTCTCTTGCTAGATCACATCACAGCTGGCTCTTTTTTTTTTTTAATCATAATCATAATAATGATGAATATAATAGCCATTGCAGCCGGCTTTTTGGTTGAACAAAGCAAACATGGCAGCTAGGCTTAATTGAGGTAGGAAACAGTCCTTGCTTCCACCATTGGTGGCTCTAAGCGGCTGCCACCGTTGATAGCTCTGAACAGCTGCCACCATTTATAGCTCTTACCGGCTACCACCATTCTCATTATGCTCTCGGGCTAATTTTGATTCGGCATATTTGCCGCTTGTATATGTGGAGTTAGAAGCTAGTCTCTCTAACCTTGAGATATACTCATCATATTTCTCGTCTTGCTATTGTGAGCAGAACACTTGATGCAGTCTAACTTCTTTAATTAAAATGCTCAAGCATGACATTTTACTTGAATTGTTGCTCACATGGAGCTCGCAGCTTCCCACAAATGGAGATTGGCCATATGTAATATCAATATAATAATGGAGCATCTCGATAGTGCTTGCCATCCGGATAGTTTATTTCTTGACTTGTGTACACACAACTGGTTTTCTTGGTGTCAGTTATCAAGGTGCCACACCAATCCACCATTGCCGGATGCTTGGAGTGTCGTATGATCTCAGCTCTTAAGCGAAGAGTGGATCGATTTTGCTTGTTGGCTATGCTTGTTGTCCGTCCTTAAGCTCTTGGCATGATACTCAGCACTTTGGCCGGATGCCTTGCTTAAAATTTTGACCTCCCGGCTTTTAAGCTAAGAGACGACCACGTATAATGCTTCTTGTGTATGCTAACACAAGAAAAAAGCTTGGCCGCTTGAGTATGCTAACACAAGAAAAAAGCTTGGCCGCTTGAGTGGTTCAACTCAAAATCTTTGGATGCCGCATCGCTTAGTAACTTACAAAGGTTAATGGATATTCTTGCATACGGGTGCCGCCTCATCATAATGGAAGGAAGCTTCCAATGAGCTGGATAATCATGCCGGGAAGCTGCCGCGTGATAATGTTTTTGCCGAGCAACTAAGATAGCCATGGATGATCTTAGTATATTTTGCCACTCACCTAGTGATTTTTATCTATTATTGAATACACCTCACCGCCTCATAATTCATATACACATAGTATTGATGAGTAAGCAGCTCACTGCATTGTATAAATGTAGTTGGGCAGCACTTTTGTGTGCAATAGTAGTAATAAGTAGCTGATAATATGTAGTATATAAGAATATACATTAATGATTGTCGAATTTTAAAGACTATCATTTTAAGAAGTATGTGTACGGGATATATCGGTAGCATCCTTGATAAGCCGGTAAGTTGTACGGGGTATATCGGTAGCATCCTTGATAAGCCGGTAAAAGAGTGTTGTGCAGTTTAAGCCTCGTTAATCGGTAAATAAACCATGTCCTTACCGGCCGGTAAAAGAGTGTTGTGCAGTTTAAGCCCTCGTTAATCGGTAAATAAACCATGTCCTTACCGGCATCACTCTATGCCACGTGGAGAGCTGCTTCTCGTCACGTAACATGTCCCTCTAGCACGTGGAGTGTTTCTTGGGGCCGCGTAGGCACCTGCTGCCTCTAAGGTCGGTGTGCCACCTATTTGTATAGGTGGCACCTGCTTGGTTGTGTTTTTATAAATAGCCAAGAAAATCCCCATTTCAAAGGTAGAATATCTCTCTCTCTCTAAAACAATTTCTCTCTCTTATATCACTTTCTTCTCACAAAGGTACTGATTTTAGCATCAGAGTGGTTATTCCCGGATAACCCCCGGGCTAGCTAATCTGTATTAGCTGTGTAGGTGTGCAATTGGACGGTAAACCATTACCAGCCCTCGGACATTAATGGAAGCAAAATTCAGCAGGAACAATTGGCGCTAGATGGAGGGGATAGTAATAACTTCTATCGTCCAACATAACCTCTCACAGTCATGGAAGGAAGTAAAGAAGCTACAGTACCAGTACCGGAAGTTGAAAACTGACAATATGATAACAGTATCTTTAATGCTAACGCGAATAAAATTGTAAACAGCCTACCAGAAATCGTGATCGAAGATGAAACTCATCTCCTTCACGGCAACACAACAAACATGCCAATAACGCCTGACCGCAATAGAGCAGTAACCCCAGATCCTTTGGAAGGGTTTACCCCGAAGGAACTGGAGATAACGGCTAAGGTTATGCGGGCTATGTCTAAGAAAAGAAAGAAAGCCGAGTTAACGGCAGGGGAGGTATTGGGTGATGTACCGGCAAAGCCGCTAATAGTGAACCTTGAGAGTTAGTTCAATCAGGCGGGACTGCAACCCCTGTTAAGGAGCTGGGGCCGAGAGACCATACCGGTTGAGCGCCAAATCACACGAGGCGCCCAAGTGGGGGATTCAGGTTCTTATCGACATGAGGTTTACAGCGGATTGGAAAGGCGGACAGCCAGGGCGATCATCAGGCCCAGGATATCTCCGTTCACACAAGAGGTACTTGACCAACAGATGGAGAAAATAAAGATGCCATCCAGTACTTACGACGGTAAGGGGGACCCTAAGCGGTATGTAGCAGCTTTTGAGAGTCACATGTTGCTATATACAACACACCGATGCTGTGTGGTGTAAAGTTTTCCCTACAACCATTACCGGGCCAGCTTCGGATTGGTTCTCCAATTAAGAGCCGGGGTCAATTGACTGCTTCGAGACCCTGGTGGAGTTGTTCACGGGTCAATACATAAGTAATAGTGAAAGACAAAGGACATCTGGTGAGCTCATGGCTATTCAGCAACGAAAAGAGGAATCGCTCGGGGATTTCATTAGGCGCTTCAACAACGAGGCTAATACCATACCAAAGTTACAGCAAGAAATTGTCGTGATGGCATTGATGAATGGGTTAGGTGACAACGATTTCAAAAAATACATGTCGCGAAAGTCTTTCCCAAATTTAGAGGTAGCATTTGCCAAGGCTCACAAATACATAAAAAGTGAGGAGCTGCTGAAAACGAGCCATCAAATATCGTCAGCAGAGCCCTCCAGGAGGCAGAATGATAATAGCCCAGACGGGCGGGGTAAGCAGGTTGGAGCCGCAGAGCCAACAGAGATCTGGAAGGCCGGCGAGGGGATTGGGCCGTTATAGAAGCTTACATAGTTAAATACCCCGAGAGAGGCAATTTATTCAGTTAACCAGAATAAAGAAGATTGGATTCGGCCGGCGCCGATGATAACGAAAGGTCGGGACGTGAAGAAATACTGCATGTTTCATAGAGATGTCGGTCATTACACCGAAGAATGTGTTCAATTAAAATAGAACATTAAAGATCTCATATGGAAAGGGCGATTGTCTCAGTATCGTACTCAAACAGGTCCCAGCCAGCAGCAAAGTACACAACCCAGGCAAACCGAGTACCGAAAGCAGGGAGATTCATCAATGCAAGATGTCACCTATAGACAGAATCATGCGGAAACATCCAGACAGGGAAGTATTCCGACAGGGCGCAAAATAACAATCGATGTTATTACCGGCGGACCAGTATACGGGGGTTCCGTAAGCAGAGCGAAGAAAAGTTTGTCGGAATACCGGCACCTAGTGAACGCATTGAGCGTAGAGGAACGACCTCGAACTTCTCCCATGCTTTTGATATCCTTTTCGGAGGAAGATGCTAAGGGAATAGTCTTCCCTCATGATGATCTGTTGGTACTGGTATTGACGGTTAATGGAGCAGATATCAAGCAGGCACTCGTTGATGGCGGAAGCTCCGCCAATATCCTATTTTCTAGAGCTTTTGATGCCATGAGAATTGGCCGAAAATACTTAACGCCAGTGTCTTATCCCGTGATAGGTTTCAACAGGTCACCGGTAAGACCTGAGGGTAGTATAGTTCTTCAGGTGAGAATGGGAAAAGGACCGGTAGTAAGAGATGTTATGGCGGAGTTTTTGGTGATTGATGTGCCATCCGCCTACAACACTATTGTCGGTAGGCCTTTAATTCATGACATGCAAGCTGTAGTCTCGACATACCATTTAACGATGGTATATGTATCCAACGCTGGAACGACAGAGCGTGTACGGGGGAGTAAAACTATGACAAGAGAGTGTTACGTTTCAGCACTAAAACAATCAAGCCGGCAACATACTTGCGAACAGACACCATCTAAGCGAGAACGAGTTCCCTCTACATATGATTTGGCCATGGAAAATTTCGATACTCGGCCGGTAACTGCACCACGTCCTTCCCCAGGGGGCGAGACCGTAGAGATCGAGTTGCAGCCTGGGGTCCCCGGGAGGGTAGTGCGCGTTGGATCTAATATGGATGTCGACACACGCTGCCATTTGGTGGAATTGTTACGAGAAAGTGCTGACGTGTTTGCTTTCTCGGCAGATGAGATGCCTGGAATACATCCTGACGTCATAGTACATAAGTTAAATGTCGACAGGAGAGCAAGACCTATTCGACAGAAGAAAAAGAACTTCTCAACAGAGAAAATAGAGGCTATTCAGTCAGAAGTAAACAAATTCCTAGCGGCAGGATTTATCGAACCCTGCACATATCCCGAATTGCTAGCAAATGTGGTTATGGTTAAGAAGTCGTCAGGGAAGTGGAGAATGTGCGTGGATTTTACGGACTTGAACAGAGCCTGCCCGAAAGATTGTTATCCCTTGCCAAGGATAGACAGACTGGTAGATTCCACTTCCGGTCACGCGCTATTGAGTTTCATGGACGCTTTCTTCGGATATCATTAGGTTAGCTTATATGAGCCAGATCGAACCAAGGCGACATTCATTACCAATGCCGGGGTTTTCTGTTACAGGGCTATGCCGTTTGGTTTAAGAAATGCAGGGGCCACGTATCAGAAGATGGTCGAAAAGGTATTCGCGAACCAGAAAGGAAGGAATGTAGAAGTATATGTGGATGATTCAATTGTGAAAAGCCGTTTGGTTACAGATCACGTCGCCGATTTGAGAGAAACTTTTGAAACTCTTCGGCGCTACCGGATGAAGTTGAATCCGGAGAAGTGTGTGTTCGGCGTTCGGTCAGGAAAGTTTCTCGGGTTCATGGTAAGCGAAAGGGGGAAAGACGCTAACCTTGATAAGATCGAGGCAATTCTTAGTTTACCAGAACCAAAGTGTATAAAAGATGTACAAAAGCTCAGTGGTCGAATGGCTGCATTGACGAGATTTATCAGCAAGTCAGCTGACAAAGCCTTACCATTCTTCGTGATCTTGCTCCAGAACAAACTGTTTGTATGGGGGAAGGAGCAATCCAAGGCGTTACAGGCCGTGAAAAATCACTTGAGGTCCTTACCCATTGTCGCAAGTCCGGAACAGGGAGAAATATTACAGTTGTATATCTCTGCGTCAGCAAAGACGGTACCACCGGTGCTCCTAGTAGAACGATAAAAAACCCAACTGCCAATTTACTTCGTGAGCCACGTCATAAATGCTACCGAGATACAGTATCCGTTAGTGGAGAAAATCGCATACGCAGTAGTTGTGGCTGCGCGAAAGTTACGGCCTTACTTTGATGCACATGTAATTGATATTCTGACAAATCAGCCGTTAGAGAAGTCTTTGCAGAAGATGGAAACATTTGGCCGCCTGAATAAATAGGCGATTGAATTATCTGAATACGTTATTACGTATAAACCAAGGGTATCAATCAAAGCCCAAGCCTTGTCTGACTTCATTGTAGAAACATCTTATTATGGAGAAGAGGAGGGTACCGGCACATGGAAGGTATAAGTTGACGGCTCATCTGCTTCAACCAGCTCAGGGGCTGGAGTAATTATGATCTCTCCCTAGGGAGATGTGTTTGAGTATGCTGTCAAGTTCAAATTCAAAGCCTCGAATAATGAGGTAGAGTATGAAGCAGCCTTGGCAGGGATACAGCTATGCATATCTGCGGAAGCAAAGCGTATTGAGATGACAACTGACTCGCAACTGGTGGCAAATCAGTTCAATGGCACTTACGAAACTCGAGAGCCGAGCATGACGACATATCTGGAAAAACTCAAGAGTATTACATCTAATCTGGAGTATTTCGAAATGAAATTGGTTCCTCGAGCAATGAACACGCAGGCAGACGCGGTGGCTAAACTTGCAAGTTCAAGCTTTAACGATTTAGAGAGGACGGTGATGGTAGAAATTTTGAAAGAAAAGAGTATAGATGAACAGTCTCCTAAGGATGTACATTGTACAAGTGAAGGTCGAGAATGGTATGACGAAATCTTAGCTTACAAAGTACACAACGTCCTGCCCACTGATAAGATTGAGGCGAGAAAGATCAAGAAAGACAGCGTTTGGTTTATTATGTTTCGGGGCACATTGTATAAACGGGGGTTTTCACTACCATTGCGAAGGTGTATAACGGCGTACGAATCAGCAAGGCTGATAGAAGAAATACACGAGGGCGATTGCGGTAATCATACGGGGGGTCGGTCAATGTCCTTGGAGGCAATAAAACGGGGCTACTATTGGCCGACAATAAACGCAGACACCATTGAGTACGTTAAAAAATGCGAGAATTGCCAGAAGTATGGGCCGGTGATTAATCAACCTCCGAATGATTTAACACCCATTCTTAACCCAATTTCGTTCTCTCAATGGGGAATGGACATTATCGGGCCGTTCACGTCGGTAACGGGTGGCCGTAAGCTTTTGATTGTAGGGATAGACTACTTCACCAAGTGGATAGAAGCGGAACCGTTAGCAAAGATCACAGCAAACGAGGTGAAGAAGTTCATCTGAAAGAGCATCTTCACCCGATTCGAATTGCTGACTGCAATGGTGTATGATCACGGCTGTCAATTTGATTGTGGTCCGGTAAAAACTTTTCTCAACATTTATAAAGTAAAATTTGCGTATGCGGCGGTGTGTCACCTGCAGTCAAATGGGCAAGCCAAGGCCGCTAACAAGCAAATACTGGGGGCAGTCAAGAAAAAGGTGGAGGACGCCAAAGGCCTGTGGGCGGATCTGATACCCGAGATTTTATGGGAAAATCGTACGAAAACGAGAGAAACTACGGGTAAATCACCTTTTAACCTTGCTTTCGGCTCGGAAGCAGTGGTTCCGGCGGAAGTGGGACTACCTACTTTCCGCGTACAACACTTCTGTGAAAGTCAAAATGATTTGCTGCTTCGACAGCAATTGGATTTTCTACCGAAAGTGAGGCTGACGGCCGCCATAAAATCCGCTGCATACAAAAACCGGATGAGCCATGCTTATAATCGGCACTTCAATTATCGGCCCATGGAAGATGGAGACTTAGTTTTGCGTAGAACGGCCGCAACCGGCAAAGGGAATGCAGAGGGTAAATTTATTGCAACTTGGGAGGGGCCTTATCAAATATATGAAACACTTTGGAAAGGGTCTTATCGGCTAATGACCCTAGATGGAATTCCCCTAAAGAATGTTTAGAACGCTAGTGTGTTAAAGAAGTATTTCATGTAAAGTTTAATGTGTTCTATTTTGCGTAGTATAAATTTAGATGACATGTTGTCATGCGTACGTTTATAGTATTCACTAGCATTGTAAATTGTTTTAGTACCCATGAAATACAATCACTCTACCTACATTCGATACGATCTGATCACAGCCTACTAGCTGACTCGGACGTTCAAGTGAGGATAAAAGAGAATGAAATGGAATAACAATGGATCTCAAGGGGAGTTGAAAGTGCAGTCTGATCCACTGCCTTTGCTCGGCCTGATAAAGGTTGGATATGTAATCTCGGTATGCTTCACATCCGATAATTAATTACAGGAATTACAGAGTTTTCCCAAATTTTATTTACGAATAAATTTTGCCGAAAAACTCGGGGAGTATAGGTAATGGGTAACTTTAAAATTCCGAGAACAGAGTTGATTACAGGCATTACAGAGTTTTCCCAAATTTTATTTACGAATAAATTTTGCCGAAAAACTCGGGGAGTATAGGTAATGGGAAACTTTAAAATACCGAGAATAGAGTTTATGCAAAAAAAAAGGAAGTTGTGTTAAAAGCCAAGAAATCGTATTAAAAACTGAGAAAACGATTATAAAAACGATTCAAGATATACAAGCATCAAATATTAGATATAAAAAATATATATATAAAAAATAAAAAATAAATAACGACCATAATATAAACAGGAAACACAC